CTTTCTTCATTTTTTTGGTCCTTATTAGCATCTTTGTTTCTAAGGGGGTAGAGAACCTCTTCGCATAAAATTTGATTTATTTAAGTAAAGTCCCAACATTGGAGTATCCCCAATTCCACTTTCACATCTAATGTGTAGTCAGAAAAGAAAATGTAGTATTCTATTAAATTTGTAACCCCCAAAACATGAACAAATTACAAATATAAGAAAGTAGCACGGGACCGAATATTTGTTGAATCGTCATTGAATTATACTATGATGAAAAGTATGGACTTTATGGGGTCTCCAACTTACAATTTAAATGGCAAATAAAATAAATTACCATCTTACGGCAATAGGTGTAAAACAGCTATATTTTTTATTTATCCTCTATTTTGTCATATTGGATTATAAGGGTAGAAGAAAGTTTTCAATGTAGGTCGATATTTCGGAGGAGTGCCCATATATAGGTATCTCCTGATTTTACCATATTTCAAAGGATTTGGCTAAAAATGTATATTTGGGGTGGAAATCTTACACAAAAATTTTAACATATCTACAAATTTTAGAATTTTCTACATGTAATATTACCCCCTCAAGTCCACCTTTTGGCGGACAAACAGACCGACATGGTTAGGGGGACTTATGAGAACTCTAATGCATAATCTGAAGTGCTAATGGGTTTAAAAAAGTAATTAACTTTGGCTATTCTTAAATCATTCAGCCCTCAATTATGAGGTGTACAAAATACAGTAAATTCCACATTACTGCTCATTTGACTGGAAAATTTTGCTACGATTTTTACCATACTAAAAATTAATTTGATCCCTTCCATAAGATTGATATATACTTTTTAATGGATTTGTATAGCACATCCACACATTTGAAGTCCACGGTTTAAATAATGAAGCCCACGGCTTAAATATACCCATATTTACAGGAATTTTAAAACACTTTTAATAGAATACGTGAACACCTATATACCAGTACGTGAACACTTAGATCAGTCATATGTGATTGCTTTGACAAATATGCATAATAGACAAAAACTACGGGCCGGCAACGCGGACCGGGCCAGCTAGTATAAAATAAATTTTGGTCCTAATTTTTGTAAATTAAATGGGCTGGTCTGAAATACGGAATATAGCTTTATAATGTTTTATAGTGAATAAATAATAGTTCATCCTACCTAATAAAGAGGGCCCAGATTCGCAGCTTGTGGGATTTTTAAGACCATATACATACGGTAATTAGGGAACGTTGAAAGGTCCCTGAGTTCAGCTCTTGCGCAACCTTTTATTTATGAAAATGCATTTTCTATGGGATTTAGCATTTGTGACTAGATTGATAAGAATTTAGGCTGAATCTATTGGATTCTATTAAAGACTTTTCCAAAAGCCCCTGAATAAACAATTTGAACTTTTTTTTCACTTTTTTTGCATTTACATTTGAGTTTAATGTTATCGAGTAATTCACTACTACTCCTCTATTTACTGTCGCAATAAGTGTTACATTTCGGTCTTTGCTGTAGGCAACACAATGTTTGCCCTTCTCCCTTTCCTGGAGCGTGGTTGACTTCTTAAGTGAAGATTAAACTCGCATTCTTCAATGAAAATAATTTTTCCCTTTGTTGAGGTATCCAATTTTTAAAGTCCCGGGCATATTTTTGCCTTAACTCTAATGTCCTGAACTCGAACATCCGTTACATTTTTATGGAAGCAAACTTCAAAGTAATTGTTAATTCCCCTGAACCATTTTTTATAATGCTCTGAGAAATATTTGTATTTTTCTCCCAAGAGATTTGTTTTTATTAATTTTAGAGTAATGCCAGGTTGATTTTCCACATAGAAAACTATGTAACTTAGGATTTGAGGTATTATTATCTTAGTTCTATTCGCTCCACTTTTTAGTGGATTACACCATTATTTTGTTTATATATTTTAATCAACGTTTTTGCTGCATTTATTTTTATAATATAATGACCGATTCTGTTTCGTGATTCTGAATTTCTAGTTTGAAGAGATTCTAGTATTTCTACCGCAACAGTATTTGACGGGCTCGTTGAAGCATCTTGCTCAGGTTCCTAATTTTCTGAGCTTCCAGCGATAACATCGCGTTCGATCATATTTAAATTTTATGTGTATGACTGGCTCTCTAAAATACTACTAATTCAGTTTATTCAATACTGGCTGGACCGGCCCGCTTTGCCGGCCCGTACTTTTAGTCTTTAAGGCATATTTTTATTATGTAAGCGGCACAATTTTTATTATAAGCAAAATAACTCCGTAGTAATTCATGGAAAAAATTATAATAGATAATCACCCACCGTCGGTTTTAGATATTTTGAATAGGCTGATCTTATTTTTCAGCCATAGGCTTCAATTGAGTGTTAAAACTCTATATGATATAGAACTTCTATAATAGCCCCATGTGGAAACTTAGCTCAATTTTTGTTATTGTAAAGAGCTTAGCAACATTTTCCATTGAAATGAGCTGCAATTTGAGATTTGTATTTACAACGTTTAGAATACCGTACTGTGTGGTATTTAGTTTTGTCTACCTCATAATTAGGGGTACAATGTTTCCAACTGAAAGCGTTTGACATTTCGGAGTTTATGTCATATAGACGTACATCCCAAATCTACATTCCCAACCAATATTCTTTTGGGGGTTACAAATTCAATAGAATACAAAATATTCTTTTCTGACAACACATTGTTTGGGAAAGTGGACTTGGAGGTACACTAATGTAGGAACTATACTCAAATAAATGTCTATAAGGACAATTATCTGTAAGATGATTCTCTACCCCAGAGTAGCCTAAATGCATTTTCTTAGCCAAATCAATTTATGAACGTGGTCAAAACCAAGATGGACTCTACTCCGAAAATTGACAATTTCATGAGAAGAGGTTTTCTACCCCCAAATAAAGGTCTAAAAATGAAAAAAAATTTTCAAGACCCTATCCAAGCTTAAATCATATGATGGTTATACCAAAACGTGAAATTGGAAAAGAATCACACCAAAAAGATTTTTTTTCATTCACATTTTTATTGACATATCTTACCGCGATTTCTTGCCAGGATACGATCCCAAAATTTTTTGAATTGTCAAAATCCATCAAGCCGTTCTTTAGTAATAAGCGTTTATTATTGAACAAAAAATCGATTGAACTCATTATGATAAGCCAAACTGAAAAATCATTAAAAAAAAAAAAACAATTGAAAATGGAAAAAATCTTTACCTTATTCGATGATATTTTATAGCAGAAGTTTAAAGGTCCTTGCGATGTTTGTCAATAGAATGTACTATTATTTTAAAATTCGACTACATTGAAAAAAATTGTTTACATTTTTCCCGATTTAAGAATTTTTGCAATGAGATCTCTTTTTTCGTGATTTTTTGGCGATTTTGAAAAAGTAATTATCTTTTCACTTTGGTGTGACTGCGTTATATTATTTCGATATTATTTATTACTATTCGCCATCACATAATTCGGTACTACACTTCCATGTAACCCGCCTCCTTCAATTTCAGTTCTCAAGAAATCAAGTCAAATAAATTGGTATTAATATTCGAATCCAGAAATAAAATATAAAAACACTACAAATGTACATTAGAAATAAGTCAAAATGGAAAATCAATAAAGACCATATTACAATAATTAAAAAATCAAAAAACATTACCATCGTTCTCCACAAATAAACAAACGTTGTTTTTATAAAAACAACAATAAAGGGATTAGGCCTGACCATTTTGCAACAACAAAATATTATGGTATCCCGAACAAACAAGCCAATACTGTTCGCGAACGTAGATATTAATAGTCAATGCAAAAGATTTAATTTCCGTTGCAAAAGGTTTCATTTAAGCTGCAAAAGGTTTCATTAATTGGAAAATTCTATACATCATTAAACTATACGATGGGTCATCCAGTCAGTAAAATGAGTGCTTATTTAAATTAGTTGTTTTCTAATGTGGATTTTGGCATGATTATTGATACATTTCATGAAATCAACGTTTGGTTATTTACCAATATACATCGATCAAATTCAAATCATTTAATAACATGCAAAATATCGATTTTTTCGGAAATTTTCGAGTTTTCCACCAAGATTTTTCAATTTTCCACTCCAGTCTTTTTGGAGTCTTTTCTTCAAATATTCTTTATAAAACCTTTCCGCTGTAATTATAAAAAACCGAAAAAATATAAATCGGTCCAGCATAGGCAGATTTATTAAATAATTATTATTTGTTTATATTGTTAAATTCCTGGTGATGACTGTCGGAGATAACATTATATTGGGAAAAAAATTTTATCAAACTTTTTTAACTCATACCAAATTTAATGGAGACTATATTGATTAAAAGTCAACAGTAATTATGTGACAAGAATTTACAGCAGAGCAGCCTTCAACTTTGTGTAAAAATCATTAATACAATCATCACAAGAATTTTTTTCTCCAATGCAATTATTTTGCTGGCTATTTTGACAGATTTTTTGTAATATAATTTCGGACCACGTACAATCTTAAAACACGAGACGAGCGGACTTTCGTCAATCGCCCAATTCAAAGTATGGATATATTCTGTTTTTCAGTACTGTAAAAAAGTACAAAGTCGACAATCATTACTCTAGTGTGGTGTAAGATATGAAATACTTATGATTAATGATCGTAAATATACCCAAAGAGTCTCATAGCACAAAAACCCTAATTTTCCAATTAAAGCATTTTTATATCCCATAACTTGCATAGAATTTTGTGACATATACACAAAATATCAGGAGAAGATATAATATGATTGAATGAATAATACGGCCCCAGCAGTTTTGCTACTGCCCCAACCTATTTTCATGCTATTTTGATACAATATGCAGCAAGAAATGGACTATAATTTTAGGTTAATAACCCAAAAATTAATTAATTTTTTTAATATATGAAATTCTTTGAGTAAAAATAAGGTATATTAAAACCCAAATCGATATTATAAAAAAATAACAATAGGAATATAAAACTTACATTGCCAGCAGTTGAAGAGTTTTGGTTCAGTACGTGTTTTATGGAAATATTTCTGTGGGGTGGTACAGGTGGCCGATATTCGCTTGGTTTAATCTCCACATTAGCACTACGAAATACACAAATGAATAAAATTTAAACGATACAAAATATTGCTTTAGTGAAAGAATACAATGATTTTTTTAATTTTCAGTTTTATGATTATTTCATTAATTATACGATACGGCAAATATACCATTATTTAATAAATCTATTTCGAAATATAGTATTTTCAGATTAAATAAAACCTTTTGCAATTGAAATGAAACTTTTTGCGGCGGAAATGAAACCTTTTGCAGTGAAAATGAACGCTTTGCAGTTGAAATGAAACCTTTTGCATTTGAAATGAAACCTTTTGCAACCGAAATGAAACTTTTTGCAAATCAAATGAAACTTTTAGATTTATAGAAGGAAAAATTACAAAATATTTTTATTTTTAGTAGGTTTAAAATTAAATCAACTAATTATAACTAATGTAAAGTTAAAGAGGAATTTTTATTGATTATTAATATCTATGTTTTTATAATATTAGATTAATTAAAATATGTTTTTTCAAGGTCTTTTCTCCAAAAGACTTTCATTCGTGTCTACCTTTTTATAACCTCCACCATGGAAAGGTGGTATAATTAATTTGTCATTCAGTTTGTAACATCTCTAAATATTCGTCGTAGAATCCATAAAGTATACACAATCATGATCAAAGTTGATTTAATGATGCCCATCTATTGAAATCGTGATATTGATATGAAATTTGAAGTAGAGATTTAAAACATGGCAAAACATTGTATTGTGTTTAGGATGTTTGGTATTGAAAATAATACCGGGATGTTTCAATAAGGCATTACATTGCGGACGCTATGAAGCGAACCATTCAATAGCCCACATATCAAGACTGCTCTATATCCATAATCAATAAAGCTGCGAAACGCGAATCCTTTATTAGGTAAGATAAATAGTATACTATAACTATAAAACATTATAGTAAAGCTTAATTTCGCATTTCAGTCCTGCCCATGCCTATAAAAGCCAAAATTTGTTTCAATTTCTCTTTTTAGCATTAAACATTTGGAATTTAATAATATGGATATATTTTATATTAAACCTTATATAAATATAAGAATAAAAATATATATTAATAATCAATAAAAAATTATCTTTAACTTTACATTAGTTGTAATTAGTTGATTCAATTTTAAACCTACTAAAATTAAAAATGTTTTGTAATTTTTCCTTCCGTAAATCTAAAAGTTTCATTTGATTTGCAAAAAGTTTCATTTCGGTTGCAAAAGGTTTCATTTCAAATGCAAAAGGTTTCATTTCCGCTGCAAAAGTTTCATTTCCATTGCAAAAGTTTTCATTTCCGCTGCAAAAAGTTTTTTTTAATTGCAAAGGTTTCATTTAATCTCAAAATGCTATAGGACCACTGATTTCCCCTCTAAATTTTCTATTAATGTTAGACTTCAAAAAAGAAAACTTCAACATTTTTTCACATTGGGGAATCAATCCGCATGGGGAATAATTGTTAGCATCAGGAAGTATACATATATAGACGAAATAAAAATACTTACACAAGCTTGTTGTTTTGGCCAATTATTTCAACATTAGTAGTTGGATTTGGGTTCATGAATGATGTTGCTTTACTCTCAGTTGTGTTGTTAGATGCACAGTTAACAATAGGATTTGTTGTTATACGTATTCGAGAGTCTGTAAAAGAACATGTGATAATTATACGAATAAAAGAGTCGTATATGAAAACAGGAAGGTTTAATAAAATATTTGTACCATTTTCTAAAATGTTGTACAAACAAAACTTTTATGTCATAATATTTAATAAAAAGGACTTACCGCGTGGATTTATAAAGTTTTGCCCTTGTGAATTGAAACTCAGAATTGACGATCTATCCATTGTGGATCGCCCCAACCAAACCCAATCATGAGCATTTGTTGTTGTTTCAGTAAAAAACTTTGACTCTTTATTTATGTCTGGCACAGACAATGATCCTTTTGAAATATCTTCCGAGTCTATAGTACTTTCAACGTGAATAGCTTTAAATTTTGAAGCATACACAACGCACGATATAACAAAGACTACAATTGCAAAGCAGAAGGCAGTCAACAAAACGTACATTCCAACTTCAATTGAAGACATGTTTCTCTTAGGAATCTTCTTGTAGCCAAAATGTGTTTTATCAGTAGATAGGCTGTTTCCATGGTGCTGTCTAGCTTGAACGGTAGGTTCATGGTGATGACTGGAATCACGTAAAGGTATGCCTGTAAAAAATATGTATTAAAAGGATACTTAGTTATTATTCAATTTAAATCCGTCATAAAAAGGCCAGACAAAATACGAAAATCTATAGTCCAATTAAAAATTTTCGCTCGTACCCAATAAACAAATCGTTAACCTGAAATGCAAACATGTTAATTAAAAACTATGTAATAATTAGGGGGACTATTTCTTTCCACAAGTCTTTGTTATTATATTCTATTAGTCGCTAACTTACTGATAATTTTCTTAAATTAAGGAAATAGATAAATAAAATTATTAAATTAAATTTGAATACCCTGTAAAAAAGCTGGGGTTTTGTGTCATCACTTTTGTCTACAATTTATGAGACACTTATCCTTATACTATTTGTCGACGTCGACGGCGTAGATTTGCATTGGCTCCAATTTTGTCGTTGTTGTTGTTGTTTGTAGCAGTTGTACATGTATGTGTTTGCGTTCTGCTAATCTGGTTTCAACTCCAGGTTTAGCAATTCGGCTACTTTGACGGGCTGTAGCCAGAGATCTTCTGGAGTGAGTTGGGTAGGTTTGGCTGAGCAATTAAAAAGGTGTAGCGTATTGTGCGGGCCTGTATCGCACGCCGGGCAGGCGTCACGCACATCTTCATCAATTCGTGCCCAATACGAATTGAGACGACTACACCATCCTGAACGTAATTGCGCCAAAACTACCCTGGTTTGTCTAGGCAGCTGACGTTCTTCAGCTGCAATGGATGGGGGATGGACTCCGAGGACGGCATTCACTTTATAACTGCTAATAGCATCCGCGACTGCATCGGTGTGAATGCCACTCAGACCTTCCTGATAGGCTTCTTGATCTAGAGGCTTCTTGATCGGTGTGAATGCCACTCAGACCTGCCTGATAGGCTTCTTGATCTAGAGGTTCTCTCTTGTAGTGCTGGACCTCCCTCTCTAGATCATGTATGTCCTTCCTGACACGCCTGGGTGGGGGAGACTTATCCACCATATGATGGTTGGGATGACTCTCACGCTAACACCCAAGCAGGTACTGCAACGAAAGCATATTATTATGCTGACGTACAGGAAGGACTTTTGCCTCATGTAGATGGTCCACTGGTGTCATGAGGAGGCACCCTGTCGCAGTTCTCAGGCAGCGTTCTGGCAGGTCTGGATATGCTTCCACTGCGTAGCACTAGTATTCGCAGACCACACTGGAGCCGCATAGCTGACCACAGACCGACCTATCGCGTTATAAGAGGTCAACAAGGTTTCTTTGTCCGCACCCAAGAGTTGCCGGCTAGCGCCTTGAGGACCTTGTTCCTACTTTTCATCTTGACGCAGATAGCTGTGGCTTGCGCAGACGACTTGAACATACTGTCGAACGTGACCCCAAGAATCTTGGGGTAGTTCGTGGTCGGTATTAGATTCCCCTCGACCTGAACATTCAGCTGTGTTCACATCTCCGCAGACCATGTGGTAAAGAGTGTGGCCGTTGATTTCGTGGCGGATATTTTCATATTCCTCGCGTGGAAGCATGCGGCAAGCTCCGCAATATAGGGGTTCAACCTTTCGCATATGTCATCGACCACTGGACCCGACGCCATGATCGTACAATCATCCGCATACGTTACGATCTCAATGCCATCTGGAGGGCGAGGAATTCCGGAAAGGTAGAGTTTAAACAGTTCCGGAGATATCACCCCACCTTGGGGAACTCCCTGTTTCACTCTACGGGCTTTGGACTTCTTGTTCCGGAATTCCACGTACGACTGGCGTCCACACATATAGTTGATTATCCAACGTTTCAAACTTGGCCGGAGGGTAGTTCTCTTTACGTCCTCAAACAGTGTGGCATGATTTGACCGTATGAAATGCCTTTGATAGGTCAAGGGCTACCAACACTGTTCTGTCACACTGCCTCAAGAGTCTTTGCTACTGGCGACAAAAGCGAAATCGGCCTGTACGATTCGCCTTTACTGGCATCCTTGCCTGGATTCAGTAGCGGGACCACCCGGCTCATTTTCCAGGTTTCGGGCACTATGTGGGTGGCTAGCGACAAATTGAGAACTTTCGTTAAGTACTCGACTCCCGGCGTATCCAGCTGCTTCAACATTACCATTGAGATCCCGTCCGTGCCCAACGCATTGGATGACTTAGCGTTACGGATGACATTTGCAACATCACCCATCGTAAACTGTGGTGGTTCCTCCTCGGCGGGAAGAGATCTGATACGACGTAGTACTCTTCGCTTCGCCCTATCGCTCTCGAGGTGCTCGACAAATTGTCGGTTAAAATATTCCGCGCACCTCTTCGGATCAATCACCGTTACGTCGTTAAAAGTGACTGAGGTCCTATCATCCTTTTTTTCCAGGGTTCGAGAGCGACTTAACCATTACCCACAGCTTACTCATATCGGTTCCAATGTTGCAGCAATTCAGATGGTCTAGCTACTCTTTCCTCTTATGCTCCTGTACCAACCGGTTGACTTCCACTGTCAAATCACTGATTCTAGGATTCTTAGGGTTGGTACGACGGAGATCATCACGCTCGTTTGCTAATCCCGCTGCCTCTGCTAGGAAGTTTGGTCTTATCTCGGGTATTCGACCAGTAGGTATATAGCGAGCGGCTGCAGCTCTGATGATGTTCCGGAAAATTCTTTCTGCCACCCGAACATCAGAAGTGTTGGGCAGTTCTCTGAAGCGGCGGTTGGTGAATTTTCTGAACTCTGGCCAGTGAGCTTTCCCATCGTTAAGGAAAGTGGGCGTTCAGAGGTTATGAAATCGGGCGACCTGCTTATGGAGACGATTATGGGGAGATGGTCTGAGCCAAGAGAAATGACGGGATGCCAAGTCACGTCATTTATCAGACCGGGTGACACTATGGTTAAGTCTGGCGAACTGTGACACTCTCCTGTTATTCCTCGTTAACCGTGCATCCTCGTTAACCGTGCAGAATGTGGAACAGTCAATCTGCTCTGCCAGCGCTGATACCCTCTGGTCATTACCTAGGACGGAATCCCACAACTCATGGTGGGCATAAAAATAAAATAAATTGGCTACCAATAATGGGCTAATATCAGGCAAATAACGCGGTTCACAGGCGGGATATACACATTAAGCACCTCTACCTCGGCAGTTCCACACTTGACTGCTACCCCCCATACATTCCATGTATGGGTCACTAGAGACTAGCTCAAGCGAGATAGGTCTGTACTGAATAGAATGGTGTAACAGGAACGATAATCCCCTAACTCCAATTCTGGTGCGATCCTTCCTTAGTACGTTGTAACCATAACAACGTCGTAGGCTGCAATTTTCATTCAGCTTGGTTTCCTGCACCGCTGCGATCTTAATATTCCTCCGACTCATAAATTCCACTATCTCATCTATTTGCCTTGAAGTCCGTTGCAATTGAATTGCAAGAATGATGCACAATCCGGAGTTGGAACAGCAACATGTGGCGTTAGGTGCTGCGGTGTTGGTTGCTGTTCTGGAGACTGCGGTGGAGTGCAATACTCCGACGACGTCTCTGATGAGGACGACGAAGAAGTGGACTCGCTGGGGACTACGTTACTGCAGCAAGTCGCAACATAATCCCTTTCGCTGTAGTCTCGCAAACGCCTAAGTCCGGAACAGTTCTTGAAGTGCACCCAATCTCTTCATCCATTACATCGCACCGAAACAGATCTGTTGTGGATGACGTTTTGACAAACCGAGCAGAACCAAAGTCCGGGGTTTTCCTCAATCACGGCACGGACCAATAAAATCCGGAGAAAGCATTCCGGGATATGCTGTTCCCAATGCAGAAAAATAAACAAACACAAACATGTACATACTGGGTTGGCAGCCGCTGGCCGAAACTGGGATCTTGACATAGGCTGTAGTGCCCATTACGAACTTTAAATGCGAAATGTGGAACAATATCTGCAAAAAGCCTCTATAATCATTTAAATACAAAATATTGCGAGGTACCGTTATATGGGAGGCTATACGAAAACGTGGACCGACATGGACAATTTACGAACTTAACCTGCATACTGGCAAAATACAAAAATGCAAAATTTTAGCGTTTATCTCAACTCGTCCAAAAGATAGCGTGATGGAAACAGACTGACACACACAGAAAGACAGGCGACCATAGCTAAATCTACTTTGAATTTTATGCTAATCAAGAATATACAGTGCCCCAGAAGCGTAAATTTTGCTTATTTACGTAACCGCTAAGATGGAAATGGGCCTCATCACTCATGATTATTTTTGATGAAAAATTATCTCCTTCTTGGAGATTGGCAGCAGCCAACAGCTGATTCACCATCTGTACTTTGTGCGGAAACATCTATTAACGTGTATTTCGCATGCGTTTGCTAAAAAAAAATGTCAAAACAGAACTTACATTAAGGTCCAATCGTAATATTTATAGTATTTTCTGATAGGATGATTACTTTTGCTTTATCTTGTATATACATTGTTCAGACTGACATGAGTATTCCGAGGAGTTACAAATCGAATGAAGGAATAAAAAGACTACTGACTCACAATGTCCCCATAAGCCTACGGAAGAGCTACTGATATACTACTGACAATGTCACAAGTGACTTCTGAATGGCAAGCTGAAGCACTTTGATAGGCTAGAGGATTTATTCTATATCGTTGGATCTCTCTCTTGAGATCATGCGGGTCCTTCCTGACATGCCTGGGTGGGAGTGTCCACAATATAATGGTTAGAATGAGACCCACGGTAACATCCAAGCAGGTAAGGCGGGCAACGAAAACACATGATTATGCTGACGTAAGGGAAGAACCTTAGTCTCCTCATCTAAATGGTCCCCAGGAGTTATGACGAGGCACTCTTTGTGGTAAATAGTGTGGCCATTGATTTGGTGGGGATATTTTCACATTACACGCATGAAAGTTAGCGGCAAGCTCCGTATACCTTAACTGCTACCCGTATGTATTCCATCTATGGATCACTACACTAGATAGGTCTGTATTGAACCAAATGATGTAACAGGATACAATTCCCCACCTCCACTTCTGGTGCGATCCTTCTCAATACGTTGTAACCAATGCAACGTTGTATGCTACAATTCCCATCCAGCTTGGTTTCCTACACCTCTGCGATCAAGATATTCCTCCGATTCATGAATACCGGGCTAGACCGGAACAATTCCTAAAATGAACCCATCCTCTGCATCTATTACATTGCACGGAGACTGATCTGTGGTGGATAATGTTTTGAAAATCCGAACAGAATCATATTCCCGACTTTTCTTCAATCCTGACAAGGACCAAAATTATCCGAAGCAGACAATCTAGGATGTGTTGCTCCAAAAACATAAAAATAAATAAATAGTCAAGTGTCAATGACTATGACATTTCCTACAGGGTAATTACAAAAGAGCACGGTTGGTGGCGAATTTCCGAAAAATGTAACTCAATGCCTACATTTGTCGTTGAAATTTTTTGTTAAGGCGAAACAATTTATTTCACCTAATTTTGCTCTCTTCTCCTATAAACAACAAAAACCATGTGCATATTTTTTCGAATTGGATTCGTGTGTTTTTCTGTAGAGCTTCAACAAGCTGAATCACCTTTGAATGTAGCCCACATTGCAAGTCGGAAATCAACAGAAACCACCATGTAAATTCTACGAAAATTTTAATTAAAAATGGGGGTTATATGCTTAACAAATTGCTAGAGAAAAACTTCTTTACCAGTTTGAGGCACACATCGGAACTTATTGTAGAAATAAAATAAGTTATAAATACTGGGCCAATTATTAAGCGGGTTTGCAGATACATTTGTACGCTCATTTTCTTTAGTTGGCAGTACTATCAAGATAGTTATTCAAGGAATGTTTTTTTTTTAAAGAAATAGTTTTATCTGTCGGGGAAAAATATTCTATTATCGATTTCTCAATTGTTTAAAACGAGTTGTAAAACCGATACCCCAGACAGGTGCTGGATTTTTGTTCTATGAAAATATGAAATGAAAAATATTCTTTATACATTTTTTCAACAATTTCAATTTTTGTAATTTATTGTTTAATATAGTTTTTTTGTATGCGTTTTTAAATAGCGAATGCTCTGTGGCAAGAATCAAATAATGCAATATTAGGGTAACCCTAAAATGCAACAATCTGGCAACATCATAACAGTGTTGCATTCCTCAGTAGTTGTAAGTTATTACATCTCTTTAACACACAGTAGTACTGATGAAATTATCAGTCTTTGTGCAACCACCAATTAATAGACATCTCATCTGTACATATTTCGTCATACTTCATGGTTCTTCATAATTAATACTTCATCACAACTCGTAAAACAACTTAAAGTTTTATTCAACAAATGAATTGATTGTTATGTTTAAATCATCGTCTTTCATTCAACCGACCACCTCCATAAGAACATAACAATATCAGAAAAATCAATTATAGCCGTAAAAACTTTTACATCCATACAGTTATGAAATAGAGCAAAATAGAGCGTTTGTTTGTCTCTCTATAAACAGAGAAACATATTTCATTAGTTTTAATTTTTACAGTTTTAAAATATTTGATTTTACATCAATTTCAATTTTTCTAATTAATTGTTTAATATAGCTTTGTTTAGTGTTTAGTAGTAATTCGTTTCATAAGAGTATCTGACAGCACCTCCTCATCGACGACTCGAGAAAAACTAAATATTCTACGCAAGGCCAAGACGATTAGTTTAAAAAACATCTAAATTAAAGAGTGCTCATCAAAACAGAGAAGTTTTATATGAGTTTGTTTAAAACAATTCTTTTCGACAGCAAAATAAGGCAGCACTCGCTTTAATGTGATCGTAAAAACGATTTAGTAGTGGTTCTACGAAATTAGTTATATCACTATTTCATTCAATGCGTACAAAAGACTTTTTTGTAGCAATAGCAAGATAGGTAGATTGTTAAGTGCACAAGTAATAACATAAATTAAAATTAAAGACAGATGCAATTGAGATAATCAGATAACATTAAGCGGTTCATACGGACCAAAACTTTTTTGTTGCCTTATGGTTTATCTTTAGCATGATTTATCTTTAGCATGGTTTATCTTTAGCTCATTATCTTCCAGAACCGAAACTGTTTAATGAACAACGCATTACTCAATGCATCTTTAAAACATAAACGAAATATTAAACAAAAAGTCTAGAAATCGATCACACCAAAATGGAGGCAGACCGTGTCCCCTCCTGTATATAACGAACTAAAAATATATTTTATATTTCATTTATATTTTAAATCAATTTTAACGGAGATGAGCCAGTTATGCGTGGTATTAAATGTACACCAAAAAAAAAAAAAAAAAAAACATTGTTGAACACAATTTTTCAGATTAGTGGAGGACTATAGCACAAAAAATAGAATGGAATAACTGAGTACTCAAAACTACTGAAATTATATATGGATAGAAGGAAAATCATCACAATAACACTTTGATAATTTAATGATCAAAATAAACTAAACTAAAAATTTGATGTATTTATTTTGTTTATTAAATTATATAAGTGTTATTGTGATGATTTTCCTTCTACGCTTATAACTTAAGAACCGCTGGTCTAATTCTGATGATTCTGACAAATTCGGAAAATCAAAATCGAAAAATCGCGTTAAAAAGTGAAATATGAACGTTTTCATTTTGACTTTTGAAATGTACAATACAGTAATGTTTTATTTTGCATGTTTTTTTTTTTCGTTTTGGCTTACTGTTTTCGAATGTACATTTGTAGTATTTTTTTAAATGTGTGTAGTCTTTTTGGGGAGTTAAAAGCTATGAACAAAAAAATCGATATATTATTGGGTACGAACGATATATTATTGGAACGGTTTAACTTTATTTAATTGTTTCGATTCCTTGAGAACTGAAATTGCAGGTGGTGGCGAAACTGAATAGATCATGTCGAATTAATTTAACGCGGTCACAGCAAAGTTAAAAGATAATTACTTTTTCAATAGCGCTAAAAAATTAAAAATCAAAAAAAAAAAAAAAAAAAAAAAGGAGAGGCTACCTCATTGCAAAAAATCTAAAATCGGGAAACATCGAGAAACATTTTTCAGTGGAATCGAATTCAAAATTATAGTACATTCTATTGACAAACTTCGTAAGGACTTTTGAACATTTGCTGTAAAAACTCAGCGTACAAGTTGAAGATTTTTTTCAATTTGTTTTCCTTTTTTAAAATGAGTGCACAATTCGGTGTTAAATGACGATTTTTCATGCCTAAAGTTAGCATCTAGCTTTCAACTTCAGGACCTACATGGTGCTTAAGCTGGAAGATGCGAACACGTTTAAACAAACAAAATTGACCGACAAAGCGTTATGGGCCTCATGTTGGTAATTTGAGGAGCAACCACCCTTGCAAAGAATGATCACGTTTTGGTAAACCATCATATGGTTTAAGCTTCTTTTCGGGGTCTTTTTTTAAATTTTTTGGCGCTTATTTGGCATCTTTGTTTCTAAGGGGGTGGAAACCCTATTCGGATAAAATGTTTAATTTTAGAAGTTGGGCCCATCATCGATTTGGCTAAAAAATAGTATTTGAGCTATTCGGGGTAGATAACCATCTTATAGATAATTGTCCATATAAGCATTTATTTAAGTATAGTCCCCACATCAGTGTCCACTTTTCCAACCAATGTGTGGTCAGAAAAGAAAGAGAATATTGGTTGGTAACGTAGATTTGGGATGTACGTCTATATGAAATAAATTCCAAAATGCCATACTAGGACTCATTCAATCGTTGAATTATACTATAATGAAAAATATGGACTTTTTGGGGTCTCCAACACACGGTAATGGGTATGAAATAATAATTATCTGTGACTACTCTGAAATCATTCTGTACTCAATTATGAAGTGGACAAAACTAAATACCACACAGCACGGTATTCTAAAAGTTAGAAATACAAATTGCAAATTACAGCTCATTTGAATGGAAAATGTTGCTAAGATTTTTACAGAAAAAATTAAGCTGTGTTTTATCCTGGGGCTATTTTAGATGTTATATATAATATAGGTTTTTAACACTCAAATTAAAGTCTTAGGCTGAAAAATAAGATCAGTTTATTCAAAATATCTAAAACCGGCGGTAGGTGAAAATCTAATATAATTTTTGCATGAATATTTATTTCTATTTAGAAATTACTATATACTATATCAACATGGCTTTCCAACTCTCAAATTAAAACCTCTGGCTGAAAAATTGGATCAGGTTTTTTGAACTAAATACAAAAAATGGGCGTAAAAGTGGTCGTTGTCAATTTTTCTCTGCATAAAAACCTGACTCTGGTTAGGACGAACGTGGTAACGAACGATAAAATCGGTCCAGCCGTTTTAAAATGATTCAATTACCATCTAACGACATTTGATTTTAATGCATATAGATACATATGTACTCTCAATTATAATAAACATATATATCGATGAAAACATACCTATTATATCTGCAAGATCTCCACCATTGTTAGTGTATTTATTTCTTTCTTTTCGAATAACTCCATCGTTTTGTACAACTTCATGTTTATTAATAATTTCGTTTGCATTATTAAAGTCAACATCAACAGCAGCAAGGGCGCTCGCTAATGGGGATGTATTATATCGGGTTTGTTTTGTTGACATTACATTGCGGCGTACTCGACATTCTTCCGATAGAAGTAGTGTAATTCTAAGTAGGTTTCCATTTCCTTCTCCCACAGCGATTACTCGGGGATGGTGAGAGGCTAGCATTGGTGCAAAGGCCACAACTTCAGTATCTAAGCTTTCAACCAAAAGGAAGTAATCTTCCACGGATATATCCCTATAAAATAGTTTTATTTGCATTGTTTTAGAATAATATTTATATAATTTAAACCTTAATGGGGTGCGAGATCCATCCGAAAACTCCAGATCAATATCCAACAGTCCTTCCTGGTATTGTGCTGTCAATTTGTGTGTTACTGCGGTTTCAGCAATGTAACCATTTTCAATACTGTTGTCTGGAGTAATTGTCAACTGCAGTCCTGATACAACGCGAACTGAAAGTTTAATAAGGCTTACTTTATCGCTGCCAACGCGAATCTCCTTTGTCCCTATTACGCGTCCTGTTATTGGCGATAAAACCTAAAACAACACATTTATATAACCGGAGACGAATTACTATTTTAATATTTACCTGAACATCGGTGCGGCCCATTGACTTGCCTTGAAGAATTCTTCCCTTTAGGCTGGCTATTTTGGGATCTGCTACACGCAATAATGGTTGTACCAAATCCGTAACTCGCAATCCAGTTCGACGTGATATAAAGTAGCTTATGCGTCCAGAATTCTAAAAGGAGTATATAGACAAAAACGTTTCATTTATTGGATTTGAAATATATATATATATATATACTTCTATATATATATATTTTTTTTTTTTTGAAAATTTTCAAGATCCTTCTAAATGGTGAAGGGTATTAAAAGTTTGGACTGGCCGAACTTAGCTGATTCTTTACTTGTTATTATGGGATTTTTCCAATTTTATTTTGTAACAGTAAAAAAGAAGGTAAGTTCGACCGGGCCGAACTTTTAATGCCCTCCACCATTTCAAAGGAAATTGAAAATTTTCAAAAAAAAATAGTTTTTTTGTCATAGTAGTATTAGTTTTTTGTCATAGGCTGTGGTAACGATTCTGAACTTTAAATATAAAATTTAAAACAAATATAGGGGTTATACGAAAACGTGTACCGACATGGCTCATTTACAAACTTAACCTGCCTACTGGTAAATTTTAACCTTCTATCTCAATTCGTTCGAAAGATAGCGTGAATACAATAGACAGACAGAAGGACATCGCTAGATCGTTCCTTCTAAATGGTGAAGGGTATTAAAAGTTTGGACTGGCCGAACTTAGCTGATTCTTTACTTGTTATTATGAGATTTTTCCAATTTTATTTTGTAACAGTAAAAAAGAAGGTAAGTTCGACCGGGCCAAACTTTTAATGCCCTCCACCATTTCGAAGGAAATTGAAAATTTTCAAAAAAAAATAGTTTTTTTGTCATAGTAGTATTAGTTTTTTGTCATAGGCTGTGGTAACGATTCTGAACTTTAAATATAAAATTTAAAACAAATATAGGGGTTATACGAAAACGTGGACCGACATGGCCCATTTACAAACTTAACCTGCCTACTGGTAAATGTTAACCTTCTATCTCAATCCGTTCGAAAGATAGCGTGAATACAATAGACAGACAGATCGTCTTAGAATTTTACGCTGATACAGAATATATATACTTTGTAGGGTCTATTATCAATATTTCGAGGAGCTACAAACGGAATGACAAAGTTAATATACCCTGCATAAAATGGTGGAGGTTATAAAAAAATATACTAAAACACACATCATCATCAACAACATCAAAGTCGACATCAATACAAGTCTATGTCATCGTCACATTTTTTACAGAATATCAAAACAACCTAAAAACTGGTAATATTGACACTTCTAACCGATTCGCGACAAACGCCATCGACTTATGTCAACAAATAGAATAAGGGTAAATGTGGGTACAAGACTTGAAGTAATGTAAGGCAAAATTAACACAACTCAAGTAGCATTGTCATTTCATAACGAAAAATGTTAAAATTATCTTCCGATATTTGATTATATTCATGGTGTAGCTTTCTTAAATTCCTATGTATGAAAATTTAAAGAAGACTTTCTCATACTATCATATCCTCATTTTTTAATGAGGATTTCGATTTGAATTTCTATTGAACTAAGGTATTTCGATTGAAATAAGGTATGTCGAAATTTGACAAAAAAAACTGTATAGTGAAGAATAAATGCCAAACATTGAAAGGAGAAAAAATTGGAAAGGCTAATTCTGCTCTATTTTCGTCTGAAAGTATGGCTGAGAATATTTCTTAAAAAATACATCTGTCATTCTCCATTTTAATCCAAGCTTTTAAGCATTTATCTTTGGTTTTTATACCCTCCACCTTGGAAACTTTGTCATTCCGTTTGTAACATGTCTAAATATTCGTCGTAGATCCCATAAAGTATATATATTCATAATCAGCATAAAATTCGAAGTCTGTCTGTCTGTCTGTCTGTTGAAATCACGATACAGTCCACATTTTTTGACGTAGAGCTTCAAATTTGTACTGTGTCAATACAGAACAATTTGTATTGTGTCTAGGATGGTTGGTTTTGAAAATGAAATATATCAGTCAACGTTTTGGTATAGTCCCCATATAACGGTACCTCCCAATATTCGATATTTTGATGATTTTTGCCACATTTCTTCGCGGATTTGTCTAAAAATTGGTATTCGTGGTTCCTAATGGGTTCTATCTCAGTTGGCGAAACATTGTATGTATACGACTACGTTTTTGTATAGCCTCATATAGCGGTACCTCCCGATATTCGGTATTTTGATGATTTTTGCCACATTTTTCACGGATTTGTCTGAAAATTGGTATTTGTAGGTCATAATGGGTCCTAGTTCTTGTGGCGAAACATTGTATGTATATGTCAACGCTTTGGTACAGCCCCCATATAACTGTACCTCACGATATTCGGTATTTAGATGATTTTTGCCACATTTTTTTTACGGAATTGTCTAAAATTTGGTATTTGTTGGTCATAATGGTGGTCCGGTTAGGTCCGGTGGCGAAACATTGCGTGTATAGGTCCACGTTTTTGTATAACCCCCATATAACGGTACGCCCCATATTACATATTTTGATGATTTTTGCCACATTTTTTTCGTGGATTTGTCTTAAAATTTTTTTTGTGGGTCCTAATGGGCTCTACCTCCGTTGGCGAAACATTGTATGTATAGGTCCACGTTTTTGTATACCCCATATAGCAGTATCTCCCGATATTCGATATTTTGATGATTTTTGCCACATTTTCTCACGAATATGTCTAAAAATTGGCTTCTGATGTTTCCTTTATTCTAAGGTGGAGTGTATTAAAAGTTCGACCTGGCAGAACTTAATGCTTTTTTACTTGTTTTATTTTGGTTTAAGAAAAAAAAAATTGTTATTTTGATATTATTATGTGCTTAATATTGGCGACATACTGCTTAGATTTAGTAGATCGTGGAATAATGCAGACGTTTTAAATACACCCCAAAGTTGGTAACATGAACAATTCATACCTTTTCCCTATCGTCTGATATGCCTCATAGGGATGTAAAAAGTGCTCTTTATAGGCCTTAATCGCTTTACTTATAACAATAAAAATTTTCAATACATATAATTGTTTTGGAAAGTGCAAGTGTCGGTTCCCCCGACGAGACCATAAGGAATTGACTGCACCTAAGTTGTAAAAGGATATGGTTCAAAGGCCTGAAAAGAGTAATATATTAAAAAAATGGCATATATATACATATATGATTTTTAAGGTCGTACCTTTAATGGTATTCGACGTGATGTGGGCACAAGCAAAGAAACTTACAGATACATTTTGATGTATCTATATATATAAAAATCAATTGTTGTTTGTTGGTAATGGAATCAGTTGAAAACGGCTGGACCGATTTGCATAATTTTTTGTATAAACGTTCGTCATACCCCGAGTTAGGTTTTTAAAGAAAAAAATATTGACCACGCCTACTTTTACGTCCACTACTTCGATTTATCTAAAATCCTGATATTTCGCAAATAATGAAGATATTGGTTTAAAAATTATTACACGATATACTGTTGACTTTCCCTCCAATCCTAAGTATTTGTTTGGGGTCTGAGGAACTGACCACGCCTACTTTTTAATCTATCTATATATATAAAAATCAATTGTTGTTCGTTGGTAATGGAATCAGTTGAAAACGGCTGGACCGATTTGCATAATATTTTGTACAAACGTTCATCATACCCCGAGTTAAGTTAAGTTAAGAGTTAAGAAAAAATACTGACCGCGCCCACTTTTACGCCCACTATCTTGATTTATCTAAAATCTTTATATTTGACAGATAATGAAGATATTGGTTTGAAAATTATTACACAATACTGTTGACTTTCCCTCCAACCCTAGGGATTTATTTGGGGGCTGAGGAACTGACCACGCATACTTCTAATCTATCTATATATATCAAATAAAGTTGTGTTAATTGCTACGCTTATAACTCAAGAACCGCTGATCTGATTTTAACGATTCACACAAAATCGAAATTGTCTCTTGGAAAAAATAGATAAAATCCAAAAAAAATTTTATTTTGACTTTTGAGGTGTACAATAGTAATGTTTTATTTTGCATGACTTTTTTCCATTTGGACTTACTAGTTTGGAATGTACATTTGTAGTGTTTTTTTTTTTTTTTTTTTTTTGAATTGAATTCTAATATGATGTGTAGTCTTTTTGGGTAGTATAAAGCGACGACAATTATGGAGTGGCGGACCTAAATAGATGATGTCAAAATAATTTAATAATTTAACAAGCAAAAGATAATTACTTTTTTCAAAATTGCTAAAAAATCAAAAAAAGCGCCTATTGCATTGCAAAAACTCTAAAATCGGGAAAAAATAGATAACATTTTTTCAATGGAATCAAATTTCATAATAATAGTAAGGACTAAACTTCGTAAGGACCTTTAAACATTCGCTGTAAAAAACTGCGAACAAGTTGAAGATTTTTTTCAATTTGTTTATTAGTTACTATGCTTATAACTCAAGAACGTTTTGACGGATTTTCACAATTCATAAAACTTCAGAATGGAATCTTGGGAAAAAATTGCGTAAAATATGCCAATAAAAATATAAAAGAAAAAATCATTTTGGCGTGAAATTTTTTCAATTTAAAAACTATATAGAAGTGTACATTTTTTATTGTTTTGAATTCTGAATGAATAATATCAAAAATGAAATAGTACGCAATACGATGTTAAATAGCGATCTTTCATATCTGAAATTGGCATTTAGCTTTCAACTCAAGGATCTGCATTGTGCTTCAGCTCGAAGATACGAACATATTTAAACAAAAAAAAAAAAAAACCGGCAAAACGTTATGGGGCACATTTCAAAACGGGGACCTACCTACTTCTTTCACATGACAATAATCCGTCCAATGAGAACTCAGTATGCAAAATTCATTGGGATTGAAATAAGTGAAATACCGAATATAAAAAATAAAAAATAAGGGGGAAAAGGATTTCTATTCTTTCAGAAACTCTTCCTAAACTTTCACGATACCTTAAATCGCTTTTGCAGTTCATGATATTGGTCATAACCCCCGGATAAGGATACAACCCGATTTCAAGTATATCTTACATTTTAACCATATTTTCATACTAATTTCGGCAAATGTTGGTAATTTGGGAATGTGTAACCATAACATTTGTTTAATCGTCTTTGAATTATACTATGATAAAAGATATGGACATTATGGGGTCTCCAACGCGCAATTTCAATGACAAATACTACTTATTACTTTAAAAACAAGTAAAAAAATTAAGTTCGGCCGGGCAGAACTATTACTATCGTCCACTTCAGGGTAAAGGAAACATTTTTATATAAAAGTATCTGAATTCAAGCGTGTTTCACTTTGAACTTCATATACAAGTAAGACTGTTTGGATAATGCAGTTAACTTATCAAAAAACCATAAAGTGAATGAGGCCGTTATAGGGGGCCATATCAAAAGGGGAGTCTCTGTTGACAGTTTTATAGTTCAAGGATTGTCATCTATCAAATCTTCTAAGATACCAAATAAATATTGAAACAATTGTGTGCGTAAATGTTACTAGGATTATCAACATACCCAATACCGGTAGGTATCGTTATATGTGTTAGACAAATCCGAGGAGAAATGTGGCAAAAATCATCAAAATACCGAATTTTGAGAGATACCGTTATATGGGGACTATACCAAAACGTGAACCGATAGATCATTTTCAATACCAACCATCCTATACACAATACAAATTGTTCTGCTAAATTTTGATGCTCTACGTCAAATAATGTACGCTGTATCGTAATTTAAACAAACAGACATACAGACGGACAAATCGACTTAGAATTTGGTGCTGATTATGAATATACATATGTATATTTTATGGGGTCTATGACGAACATTTATGGATGTTACCTTTCCAAGGTGGAGGATATAATAAGCATTAAAGACTGAAATTACGGTTAGAATATATATATATATATATATATATATATATATATATATATATATATATATATATATATAAACTAGGTATCGTTATATATATAAACTTCTAACCGAAAGTTGAATGAAACTTCCTATTTCGGATGCGTATTCGGTCCGACTTATATGGAGTGGTTGATCTTCGACGGACCGAATAGAAGTGAAGTTTTAGAGGACTTTCGAGCCGAAGGGATATCTATGGAAAATTCGCAAGGGAATCCGTGCGTCTTTCTCATTTTTTACCGACTTTCTAACAGTTTTCGGCGGAATGGTCTTATGAAGTTCGGATGTAAATATTAAAAACAACTTCCATAATGCAATGACAAAGGCAAATAGAAATAACAGTAGACTATTACTCAGTAATAACTGAAATCTGCATAGACAATTTTCCCAAGGGAAAATGGTATCTATTAGATATCCAAATAGTAATTATGAAACAATTCCGTCTAAAAACACTAATTGGAGTCATATTTTCTTGGAAACTAAAACTATAAGTGTACTAAAAAGCACTAAAGCAGGTACCATGTGATATAATGTGTGAACGGATAGAACGGATATTTGGTATCAGAATTAAGTTTAAGACATAAGGATTTGGTTATGGAAATGTGTTATAAGTATAAGAACTCTACAAATTCGATATTTCGATGTGGTTTTGGATGTACGTACTAAAAAGGTGAGAAAAAGTTGCTAAATTGTACTTAATTTGGTAATTGGGGAGGAATGAATAGATTTGGAAATCTAAAATTTGATATTAGAATCACTTTTTGTGCGGAGGAGTTGATCTATGGAGGTAGCCTTGGAAATACGTGCAAAAAATATACGAAGAGTATAAAATGCTATTAATGTTGGTATTTTGGGGAAGGGATATAGCTGGAAATCTGAAATTTGACATGTGGGTCTTTGATGTTGTGTAGGATAGATGTACCAACGGGTTGTTTGAAAATTCAAACAATAAGTGCACCAAAAATACTCACTACTGGTGGGTAGGTTGAAAATAAGGAGGAGGTTTTGAAATACGTCCTAAATGCAACGAAATTTGGTATTGGGTGAACGGATAGTTTGAAATTTGTCATAAAAGACATTGTTAGTGTGAAGGGTTAAGATTTGGATGTGGTTTTAGAAATACGTAATAAAAAGTACGAAATATGTACTAAATTTGGTACCATTTGAATTATGAAATATGAATCATTGATAAAGGTGGAATGTTGAAATTTCGACCAGAAAGAAGTCTTTAAGGAAATACGTACAATGGTTGAACGAAAAGTACTAAATGTTAGTAAATTTGGTATACAATGTAGCATCACTGTGAATTAAGATAGATGCGAATTGGGAAGTGCTTATGTATGATGTGAACTCGGAAATCTTAAACTTATGATTTTTGCTATGAGACTAACTATAAGCTAAACAATGTACAGTATTTGGAAATGCGTGCTATATAGTGTAAGTACTAAATTCGGCAGGAAGTGTAGGAATAAAGCTGGAAATATAAATGTTGGTATTAGGACAACTGAGTGTGTTTGTACTTTTAGGTAATAATGGTTCATTTTCAAATTTAGTAGTATTTAGTATATAAAGTTAGTCATATTTTACAAATGAAAAAATATATAAAGCAGCCTAAACAAATATAGACCTTATTAAAAGTTTATTGGACAGGTTAATACGATTTTGTTAATGTGTATGAACTTATCACAGCAAAGCAAGAGAATTAAAAATATTCATTGTATTGATTACTTAATATTATGAAATGCTGATCTTTGATACATTCTATTTGAATGAAATATGACACATAAATCCACATAATATCAACTACAATTTCCGCCTGCGAAGTAGCGGGTATTTGTTAGCATATTCATTTATAAACAAAGTCTTTACATTGTATATATACACTTACCTGATCAACTGCAACGAATCTGGCAAATACTTCCACCGGACTTTGTTGGTATCGGGCTCGGCACGACATTTTTTCCAGTAGACCATTGTTATAATAAGCCCCATTATGTTGGCCGTGGAAAAAAGATCTCTTTTTCCTACGAGATTTTTTATGTCTAAAAAATTTTTATTAAATGAATTAAAAATAAGTTTCAGATAATATAATTTAATTAAATATTTTAAAGTTTAATTAAAAATTTGCAAAAAAAAATCACATTCAAATCGCTTTAATGCCTCATTAAAAAAAATGAAAAATATATATTGTTTTTTAAATCCAGGGTCGTAAAAATATATTTTAAGAGGATAATTTCTAATTCATCGCTCTTTTAAATTCGTTGTTATGTGTGCGAAATGTTTTCCCTATCGTCAAGAAAGTGAAATGCTCTTCAAAAATTAAATAATTTCAGAGAAAAATCAATTTTTCACAGCAACAAAAAGGCTCAATTTTGTATTTTTTGTGAAAGCCTTCAATCAAGTAAGGTGTAGTTTCCACAAACGAGAACAATCAAATAACAAATAAATGCTATGAAATTACTTAAATGAATTCATTTAAAAACAAAAAAGTTCCTCTTTTAAATGCTGCCATTTTCGATATTCCGGTGAATATTTAAATACGACCACATGAACAGAACCATTATCGCATATAAATTGTCGAATGAAATTACAAAGTCCCCAACTATTTTTTTTAGTTTTTTGGAAAATTGCTATCGATATTAGGTAGTAGTCAATTCTATGAGATTTATTAAGCTAAGTTAAAATTTTTGGTATCTAGATAAGGGTGTATTACTTTTCCTTCAAATAAGCCTGACTAAAAACCAGAACCATAGCTAAGTCTCTTAGAGTACTTAATTACTTAATTTACACACCCTTATATTCATAACATTTGCAAAATTCAATACCAATTATTTCTGGTGAGATGTCAAATCCAATTCAATATTTCAAGTTGATATTACAAACGCTTGGATCTATTGAGATGGATATAGGACGAACAAACAGAAGAGAATACGATCGGTACAATAAAAGTTAAGTCAGTCAATGTAATTTCGGTGTAATATCAGCGTACTGAAAGTTTACATTGAAAAAGTAACCTAAATACACGCGGCAAACTTGTCCCCTCTATTAGGCTATTTCCATATTTTCTGGAATTTTCGGATTAAGATTGCTTGGAATCCATTGCTTTTGGGAATAGTGTCTTCGGCAATATTGCAGATAAAACGTTAATGTTGTCAATAAGATATGAAAAATGCGAATGTGTATTATATTGTATATGTTAGATACATTGTCCTGGAACTTCAGATTGATCAATTACGGAAGTTGTTTGACGTCACTGACATCTCTACAAACTCTCTCCGTGGAGGTTGTAGTATGTAAATTGTCTAAGATAAGTTATTGTTTTTGTTGCTACCTCGATATACACAAATAATTGTAAATGTACTTAAAATCAGGCAAGGGATCATATCCTTTAACCTCTGCTTTCACTTGTCTGTATTTGCATAGGGGATCCTCTGCGATCACTTAGAACCTCTGGGTTCACGTATTGAAAGCTTAACCATCAATGCCTCTGTCGCAACTATCACATACCGAAAGGAAATTATTTGTTGAATAAAAAAAAAACAAATCTAAATTCAATAAACCAGCGAATTTATTTGGTTGGTTGTCGTCGGTCGGCTTGTAGTGCGGTGATAGCACATCTCTCCCCATCAAGCACTGCTTATGTTTTATTCTCTTTTGCGCGGCAGTGGGACCGTATGGAAAAATAAAATTCTTAAATATTTTTTTTGTAAATTTTTGAAATAATTAATTTTTAAAGTTAGTTCAGAATATTAAAAATACCGTACATTCGGCAGCTAAGTATCACATTTGAACTAGTAAATTGCGATGTAAATAAATGTTTTTTTTTTATATTTTATGAAAATAATATATTACGAGCAAATAAACTATCATCCATCATATATCTATAGTGGCGATTGTAACTCGTGCACCCTACTATCGGTGGCCCGTTCTATGTACCGGATTGACTCGGAGGTACAAATTTCCGACCAGAGGCCGCCAACCCAGCAAATACATGTTCGTGTTCGTCCATTTTTCTGATGTGGGAGAAATATTACCCGGAATGTTTGCTCCGTATTCTCTTGGCCAGTGCCGGGATCGAGACCAACCCTGGACCATGGTTCTGCTCCGTTTGACGTAATCGCATCCACCACAGATCGGTCTCGGTGAGATGTAATGGATGCATGGAGTGGGTACATTTCCGGAATTGTTCCGGCTTAAACCGGATACAGTAGCACAGCGATAGGGACTGCCTTGCTTCCTGCTGCGTCAATGTAGTGAGTCTTCACCTTCGGCGTCCTCATCGTCCATAGAAAAATAGAACCAATGAGTTTATAGCAGAATGGATGATGCAGAATCGCATACGCCATTGTCAGAACGACATTAAATGCATTTATTTGTTAATTGCACATTCCTGAACATTTTTACAGAAATTCGTGAAAATGTGGATATCTCAAAATTTTGACTGCCCATAGAAAACTAGAACCAATGAGTTTATAGCAAAATAGATAATGCAGAATCGCATACGCAATTGTCAGAACGACATTAAATGCATTTATTTGTTAATTGGACACTTGTGAACATTTTTACAGAAATTCGTGAAAATGTGGATATCTCAAAATTTTGACTGCCCATAGAAAAAATAGAACCAATGAGTTTATAGCAGAATGGATGATGCAGAATCCAATACGTCATTTTCAGAACGACATTTAATGCATTTATTTGTTAATTGCACACTCCTGAACATCTTTACAGAAATTCGTGAAAATGTCGAATGAATGAATGTCAGAACGACATTAAATGCATTTACTTGCTAATTGCACACTTCTGAACATTTTTACAGAAATTCGTGAAAATATCGATATCCCAAAATTTTGACTGGTCATAGAAAAAATAGAACCAATGACTTTATAGCAAAATAGATAATGCAGAATCGCATACGCAATTGTCAGAACGACATTAAATGCATTTATTTGTTAATTGCACACTTGTGAATATTTTTAAAGAAATTCGTGAAAATGTCGACATCCCAAAATTTTGACTGTCCATGGAAAAAATAGAACCAATGAGTTTATAGCAGAATGGATGATGCAGAATCGCATACGCCATTGTCAGAACAACATTAAATGCATTTATTTGTTAATTGCACACTCCTGAACATTTTTACAGAAATTCGTGAAAATGTCGATATCCCAAAATTTTGACTGTCCATAGAAAAATAGAACCAATGAGTTTATAGCAGAATGGATGATGCAGAATCGCATACGCCATTGTCAGAACGACATTAAATGCATTTATTTGTTAATTGCACACTCCTGAACATTTTTACAGAAATTCGTGAAAATGTCGATGTCTCAAAATTTTGACTGTCCATAGAAAAATAGAACCAATGAGTTTATAGCAGAATGGATGATGCAGAATCGCATACGCCATTGTCAGAACGACATTAAATGCATTTATTTGTTAATTGCACACTCCTGAACATTTTTACAGAAATTCGTGAAAATGTCGATGTCTCAAAATTTTGACTGTCCATAGAAAAAATGGAACCAATGAGTTTATAGCAGAATGGATGGTGCAGAATCACATACGCCATTGTCAGAACGACATTAAATGCATTTATTTGTTAATTGGACATTTTTGAACATTTTTACAGAAATTCGTGAAAATATGGATATCCCAAAATTTTGACTGTCCATAGAAAAAATAGAACCAATGAGTTTATAGCAGAATGAATGATGCAGAATCGCATACGTCATTGTCAGAACCACATTAAATGCATTTATTTGCTAATTGCACACTTTTGATTATTTTTATAGAAATTCGTGAAAATGTCGATATCCTAAAATTTTGACTGCCCATAGCAAAAATAGAACCAATGAGTTTATAGCAGAATGGATGATGCAGCATCGCATACACCATTGTCAGAACCACATTAAATGCATTTATTTGTTAATTGCACACTTCTGAACACTTTTACAGAAATTCGTGAAAATGTCGATATCCTAAAATTTTGACTGTCCATAGAAAAATAGAACCAATGAGTTTATAGCAGAATGGATGATGCAGAATCACATACACCATTGTCAGAACGACATTAAATGCATTTATTTGTTAATTGCACACTCCTGCACATTTTTACAGAAATTCGCGAAGATATCCCAAAATTTTGACAGTCCATAGAAAAAATGGAACCAATGAGTTTATAGCAGAATGAATGATGCAGAATCGCATACGCCATTGCCAGAACGACATTAAATGCATTTAGTTGTTAATTGCACACTCCATTTATATAGAAATTCGTGAAAATGTCGATATCCCAACATTTTGACTGTTCATAGAAAAAATAGAACCAATGACTTTATAGCAGAATGGATGATGCAGAATCGCATACGCAATTGTCAGAACGACATTAAATTCATTTATTTGTTAATTGCACACTTGTGAACATTTTTACAATGAGTTTATAGCAGAATGGATGATGCAGAATCGCCATTAAAACGAACGACATTAAATTAGAACGACATTAAATGCATTTATTCGCTAATTGCACACTTCTGAACATTTATATAGAAATTCGCGAAAATGTCGATATCCCAAAATTTTGACTGTCCATAGAAAAAATAGAACCAATGACTTTATAGCAGAATGGATGATGCAGAATCGCATACGCAATTGTCAGAACGACATTATATTCATTTATTTGTTAATTGCACACTTGTGAACATTTTTACAGAAATTCGTGAAAATGTGGATATCTCAAAATTTTGACTGCCCATAGAAAAATAGAACCAATGAGTTTATAGCAGAATGTATGATGCTGAATCGCATACGCCATTGGCAGAACGACATTAAATGCATTTATTTGTTAATTGCACTCTTCTGAACATTTTTACAGAAATTCGTGAAAATGTCGATATCCAAAAATTTTGACTGGCCATAGAAAAAATAGAACCAATGAGTTTATAGCAGAATGGATGATGCAGAATCGCATATGCCATTGTCAGAACAACATTAAATGCATTTATTTGTTAATTGCACACTTCTGAACATTTTTACAGAAATT